AAATGTTACATTTCAATTAAATGACGTTAATACAATAGCTGAGGAAGAATTCAAAAACATTGATGCTAATGAATGGAAGAAAAGATGTGACCATGTCGTCAAAATAGAAAATGAATATTTTGACAGGGAAGTTCAAACAGATATGTTATTTGAAATAAACCCAGTCATAATTTCTTTAGATGAAACTGGTTCGAGCAGTAGCAGTGAGGACGATTCTAAATCTGAAGATGACAATTAGTTTAATATTTATTTTTTAATATACCTATTCTTATTATTTAACTCAAATTTGTAAAGTTTCTTTCGTAACCGTCATTGTTTGTTTCTTGTGTTCTGCCTTTTTTTTATTAAAACCACCAAATTTCATGTAATACAGTGTTTTATTTAACGACAATGAACAAATTGAATGAAAGTAATACCGGATGTAAAAAAGCACTTCCTTAAATCTTAGTCTCTATCCTAATATTTTTTCGTACCTTCATATTCCTGAAATTAGAAATCGATAAACCTTCTATAAGTGATTGTTAATTAAAAGTACATTAAAAGGTTTAAGTCAATTCGATTAGAAAAAGAGACCTAAGACTACATTATCTTGGGGCATTAGAAATGACAGAAGAAAAAATTCCATTAACTTTCTTAATTACCAGTTACTTATTTTTAACCGATTCACTTAATCTGTATTTAACGGTTCCTAATGGATTTCCGGTCTTTTAAATTTTACCTGCTTTCTAAATTTTAATTCTAATAAATAAATGTACGACGCCACTGCCAATGGAACCTTATTTGTTTGACCAATGGTTATCGCTTGGGCGGAGTTATCATTACACTAGATTCGATTTGGTACATCTAAGTAAATGGCGAGAACTGTATCTGTTATTTTAATTGTAATAACAAAATTTGGGAAAAATACTTTTAAAATTTTATAATAGCCTATCATAATTAAATAAACTAACCTTTTTATATAAATTTAAATCCATTGGCCAAACAACACCTTGTTTCCTAGTAGGAATTTTAATAAGATCTAAAAAAGAAAGAAGAAACAAGTGAGTGGAGAAAAAAATAAACAAGTAGGGAGACATGTTGAATTTTGGGGGTAGAAAAAAAGGCAGACAATTAAAAATTACATGAAAATAGTGATAAAAAGGCAAAAGTTGTAATAATGTAAGTCAAATAATTACCAGTTAATAACTGAAGGTGAACAATTTTATAATAAACAGTCAACAGTGATAAAAGGTGTGCCTAAAAAAATTTACATTGAACAAGGACTGCAAGTAGCAGAAAAATTGGAGATTAAATCTATTTTACTGACCTGTGGTGACCTGGAGGAACAGCAAACAATCATTTTCTCTCGAAGGTATTCAATTTTGGTGTGTCCCTAGAAGAAAAGAAAAAAACAATTATCAGTTCACGGACAGACATGTTCTGAGAATAAAAAGGTATTAAAAATTATTAAAAGTACTTACTTGCCTGTGTAACGTACTGAAGTCTTGTGTTTTAGTTGTATAACAATTTTTCTTTTTCTATGTTAATCACAAAAAAAATAAATACATAATACATCAATTTGTAGTAAAATGTTAGGTTATGAGTTGACACATAATTAATCAAGTTCATAACTAAATTGAATATTATTTTTTTTTGTGATTGAGAATTAACAAGTATTTTAATTAGATGAATGAAAGATGAAGGATGGATGTGTAATTTAGTAGTTAATTTAGTGTATAAAAAGACATTGATTGTTTTGAAACGAAGAATATACAATAAAGTATGTTGTGTTGCATATACGTTATATCTATTTTCATATAATTATTGATGTGTCTCCATCTATGTGACTGCATATTACAGTTCAGAGAATATTAAGAATAGAACAGTGTCGTACCAAGAATCTAACGGATCCTGCTAATGAGATTTATAGATTGTGACATTGTCTTTCTTTAATTGAAAGAGAATATATTTGCTAGCCGGGAAAAGTTAAAATAAAAGGTAATTAAAAAAAATACATATACATTATAATATTTAATAAAAAGAAAACAATAACATTGCAATTCTGGTAAGTATAAATAAAAGTTTTGAATTACGATATAATTATAATAATAATATAAAAAAAAACATTACAATATATATGGTAAATAGTAGTGGACCGAGTACTGTTCCTTGAGGAACACCACAGGTTATAATCTTAGGATCACCTAAGGTACCGTTAATATCGACTAATTGTGTTCTGTTATGAAGATAGCTCTTCATTAAATTGTAGACTACGCCCCTAAACCCAATGTGTTCTATTGTTTACAAAAGTTTTTGATGGTTAACAGTATCGAATGCTTTTGCGAGATCAACAAAGATGCAAAGTGACGGTTGTTTTTGGTCTATTGAATTATTGATTATTTTTGTCAATCTCGCAATAGCATCTGAAGTTGAGGTGTTTTCCCGAAACCCATACTGTTTGTTTGACATGACTTCATATTTATTTAAGAATGATAACATTCTCTTTTTAATTATTTTTTCAAAATTTTTTCCTATACTGGAAATTATTGAGATCGGTCGGTAATTAATTACTTCGAGCTTATCTCCTTTTTTATATATTGGGATTATTATAGATTCTTTTAGAGAATCTGGAAATTTTCCATCACTAAAGGATTTATTTATTAGGAAGGTCAATACTGGTGATATTTCATTGTTTATTTCTTTGAGTATTTCAGACGTTATATTATCCAAACCAGGTTTTTTATTATTTTTAAGGCTGTTTATCGTTTCTGAGACTTCCTTACTGTTTGTATTTGATAAATATATACTTTTATTATTTTGTTTTATTCTAATGTTTAAGTTCATCGGTGTAGATATTCTAGTAGCCATTTTTTCCCCAATTGTTGTATAGTGTTCACAAAATGTATTTGTTATTAATTTAAGATCGTCAGTAACCGTCCCTTGGATAGTTTTAATTCGATCAATTTTTACTTTGTTTTCTTTAGCATTTGACATCTCTTTAATACATTTCCAAAGATTTTTGCTTACGTTTTTATTAGTCTCAATTTTTTTATTAAAATATTCACGTTTAGCTGATTTTATTAGAGTATTTAAACGATTTCTATAATTTTTAAAATTGAGTTTATTTTGTGCCGTATAATCATTTTTCATTATTCTATATAATCTGTTTTTCTCTTTAATTGATTTTACAAGTCCAGAAGTGATCCATGATTTAATTTTTATTTCATTTCTTTTAAATTTTACCCGTTTAGTACAACTTTCAATATAAAATTTTAATTTATTTTTAAACAATGAAGTGCTGGTATTAATGTCTTTTGAATTGTAGACGTCAACCCAAGTTTCAAATTTAATTTTTTCTTTTAGGTGCGTTTTATTTAAAATTTGTTTAAAATTATCTACAGAATTTTTGTAATATTTGGTTATGAATAAAGTATTTGCTATAGAAAAGTGATCTGTGATATTGGTTTCAATTATTGCTGGAATATTAATATATTTTTCTTTGGTTTTTATAAAAATATGATTTTAACATGATTTTTCGTTTCCTACGACCCTTGTATATTTATCTATGTAACTTATAAATCCTTCCTCGCTTAGTGTATTAAAGTAATCTTGTATATTATTATTGTCTTTATTTAAAATATCCAAATTTATATCTCCTGTTATAATGTGGATGTCAACGCTTTTGCTATTTTTTAAGTATGTCGATAAGTTATCTATGAATATTTTTTCATTAGAGGGACAAGGTCTATATATACCATTAATTAACAAACATTTATTGTGGATTTTCACAATTATTTCAATAATATTTATTTCATCAAATTTGACGATATTAAAAACAGTTTCATAATTTTCTTTCGCATATAAGGCTACGCCATCACATTGGTTAAAGACACCTTCATTATAAAATAATTTGTACCCCGGCAATTTAAATAATGATGTATCAGTAAGTTTTCTTGTTTCAGTGAGAATTAT